TATTCTCGAGTCAGCCATAATCGAGGCTTATAACGCAAACAAACAAATGTAATGTGACGACTTTTTTATTGGTCAAAATGATTGACCTACACGTGACCTGATATGTAAATAATATCATACAATACCAAGAATCATTTAGGTCAGGGGGCATAAATCTTATTCTCGAGTCAGCTGTAATCGAGTCTCATAATGCAAACAAACAAAGGTAACGTGACGGCTTTTTTATTGGTCAAAATGATTGACCTACACGTGACCTGATATGTAAATAATATCATACAATACCAAGAATCATTTAGGTCAGGGGGCATAAATCTTATTCTCGAGTCAGCTGTAATCGAGTCTCATAATGCAAACAAACAAAGGTAACGTGACGGCTTTTTTATTGGTCAAAATGATTGACCTACACGTGACCTGATATGTAAATAATATCATACAATACCAAGAATCATTTAGGTCAGGGGGCAATAAATCTTATTCTCGAGTCAGCTGTAATCGAGTCTCATAATGCAAACAAACAAAGGTAACGTGACGGCTTTTTTATTGGTCAAAATGATTGACCTACACGTGACCTGATATGTAAATAATATCATACAATACCAAGAATCATTTAGGTCAGGGGGCAATAAATCTTATTCTCGAGTCAGCTGTAATCGAGTCTCATAATGCAAACAAACAAAGGTAACGTGACGGCTTTTTTATTGGTCAAAATGATTGACCTACACGTGACCTGATATGTAAATAATATCATACAATACCAAGAATCATTTAGGTCAGGGGGCAATAAATCTTATTCTCGAGTCAGCTGTAATCGAGTCTCATAATGCAAACAAACAAAGGTAACGTGACGGCTTTAAAACGAGCCGTCATTTTTATTAGTATGAATATACAAAACAAAAAACCTAACGAAGATATTGTTGGTCAAAATGATCGACCTACACGTGATCTGATATGTAAATTTGGAGATTCAAAAAGACCCGCAATAGAATCTTATTCACACTTCGGCCATATTGAATCCAGAACGAGGCTCTTAACGCAAACAAACAAAAGTAACGTGATGTCACTGCAGTAAAATGGCCACCTTGACGTCTTTATCGCCTTCTCCTCCAATCCCACTAACTCGAAACTAATCATATTTGACATCATTAAAATCAGAATTAATTAAACTATTTAATGATACTTTCAGATGAATTTTATCTCCACACATTTCTGAGAAAGGGCAGTTTTTCTGTTTCTCAAAAACGAGACATGAATTAGGTTTATAGGATTGTCAAGGGAGGCTCAGTTACACAAACTGGTGTTTATTTTTCTATAAACTGTAGTTTATCACGTGATACTATGACATCATCAAAACACAACAATGACGTAATCTAAGATTTGTGGTAAATTCAAATAACTGATCATATAAAACAGTGAAAATTGTATTAATAAAAGTATCTGAATATAAATATAAGAATTAAACGTTGGTCTCACTAACATTATTGGTGTGTAAACGCAATTGACTTTGTCATTTATTCAGTTTGTCACGTGATCAATTGTGTTTATACACCAATAATACTAGTGAGATCAACGTTTAATTATTAATTATGATATCAAGTCAGGTAAGCTCCCTTTTTTGTTGAAAAAAATTGGGTACAATTGGACTAGGAATTTTAACACAATGCTCAATATTTTTGGAGCTGATACATGCCCTTCCTTTTTAAGTCAAATCTGTTTTTTCATGAAATAATTTAGTACGAGTCATAAAAATGAAAATACTTACATGAGACAAGGCCTGAGGAGACGGAGATTTCGCTCCAGATGCAGGTATAATAGTTCGACTAGGAGATTGGTTGGTTTGCTGTGAATATAGAAACAGAGTGTCTTAATTACATCTTAATTTCTAAAGGTGTGGGCACACGAGCGCTCTTGGTCAGAGACTAGAGTCTTGTCAAGAGTTTCACCGACTGGCACGGGCACACGAGGAAACAAAAATCTCTAGTCGGTCGTTTCCACTATGTCGATAATCACGTGAAGATCATGTAATTGAAAGGAAAATGAATCTGATTGGATGATGACGGTTTGTCTTACAGATGATAAAACTATCAGAGACAATTATCAAACTTATTTGATATTATAAATTCTGTCGGCAAACGCCATAATCTTGTCGTGAAAACACTGGCACACGTGAGATTCTACTCAAGATTATTCGAGTTGGCGACAAAAATCTTCAAATGTACTGAGAATTTTGATGCTAGAATTTCTCAAAACATTGTACAGCTCTCGAGGGCAGCTACCAAGCCCTCCCTCGACACTTGGAAATCGAAAAAGAGTAGGCTTATGCCACTGTCCTGAATAAGCGCTTAGTTTTAGTGGAATTGCAGGAACCACAGACATCTGATTGAAAATTGGAATGGTGTAAATTGATTCTATCATGTCATCCAAAGATTAGAAAACCTCTTTACAATCTCTTTAACAAGAACCACAGACATCTGATTGAAAATTGGAATGGTGTAAATTGATGCTATCAGTGTCCCTGATACACATAAAAAATTTAGAAAACCTCTTTACAATCTCTTTAACAAGAACCACAGACATCTGATTGAAAATTGGAATGGTGTAAATTGATTCTATCATGTCATCCATTACAATCCTTTTAACTATAACTGAACCCTGTATTTAGCCGAGATGAAAGCTAATATAATAATCTATTTACCTTAAAATATTCATTAATTTTTTTCCCATTGGTTTCAGCCCGTCCAGTTTTACTGGCACTTCCTGTAAAAAAAAAACAACAGGATATCACAAATATTGCTATAAGCACCAGTTTCTTCTTGTAAGTGGCATCAAGTCAAATTTGTTAGACTTCAGAGAATATGATGTGGGTGCTGGGTAAAATGATCGAAATAATTGCTAGGAATTTATAATTTTACATGAGGAAGTATATCAATTATAAATGAGTAAGTATTTCATAATGAAAAGTGGTATCAGGTGTCTAGAAGAGTAAGCATACCCTGTCTGGTACAAAACTGCTCATATGAGAAAGTATATTAATTATATGTGAGTAAGTATTTCATAATGAAAAGTGGTATCAGGTGTCTAGAAGAGTAAGTATTCTCGGCCTGGCACAAAACTGTTCACATGAGGAAGTATATCAATTATAAGTGAGTAAGTATTTCATAATGAAAAGTGGTATCAGGTGTCTAGAAGAGTAAGCATACCCTGCCTGGCACAAAACTGCTCATATGAGAAAGTATATTAATTATATGTGAGTAAGTATTTCATAATGAAAAGTGGTATCAGGTGTCTAGAAGAGTAAGCATACCCTGACTGGCACAAAACTGCTCACATGAGGAAGTATATCAATTATAAATGAGTAAGTATTTCATAATGAAAAGTGGTATCAGGTGTCTAGAAGAGTAAGTATTCTCGGCCTGGCACAAAACTGTTCACATGAGGAAGTATATCAATTATAAATGAGTAAGTATTTCATAATGAAAAGTGGTATCAGGTGTCTAGAAGAGTAAGCATACCCTGCCTGGCACAAAAACTGCTCATATGAGAAAGTATATTAATTATATGTGAGTAAGTATTTCATAATGAAAAGTGGTATCAGGTGTCTAGAAGAGTAAGTATTCTCGGCCTGGCACAAAACTGTTCACATGAGGAAGTATATCAATTATAAGTGAGTAAGTATTTCATAATGAAAAGTGGTATCAGGTGTCTAGAAGAGTAAGCATTCTCGGCCTGACACAAAACTGTTCACATGAGGAAGTATAACAATTATAAGTGAGTATTTCATAATGAAAAGTGGTATCATGTGTCTAGAAGAGTAAGCATACCATGTTTGGCACCACACCCACTATGTAAACACCCTGCTATGTAAATGAATGAGGTTAAAGTTCATGTATCGAGTAACCTACCGAACTCTCCAGCATCTTGAGCATTCTTTCGTTTACGTTTTCTCTCCGTTGGTGTACGGCATTTATCAGGTGTACCTAGTTGACCTTCAGAAACAGCGTCTTCTCGATCGACAGATCCAGCACTTAGATTACTGCTATTATCATACATGGGTTGAGATGTACTGGAATTATTTAACGGCTGAAACTGAAAGTAGTAAAAATTAATCTAAATGAAAAACAGGCCATGCAAAGAAGTATGCAAGGAGTAAATTTAACCAATACAGTAGTGTTCGCCTACAGTATTTCAACGACCTCCATAATTTGACAGACAGAAACTAGTTTTAACAAATCTGAAGACATCACAATCTAATTTAGGAAGCTGGGTCGTGTTTTGATCAATTTTTGTGTAGTAACAGGCCATGCCAAGAAGTGTGCAATGAAGGAAATTTAACCAATACAGTAGTGTTCGCCTACAGTATTTCAACGACCTCCATAATTTGACAGACGGAAACTAGTTTTAACAAATTTGAAGACATCACAATCTAATTTAGGAAGCTGGGTCGTGTTTTGATCAATTTTTGTGTAGTAACAGGCCATGCCAAGAAGTGTGCAATGAGGAAAATTTAACCAATACAGAAGTGTTCGCCTACAGTATTTCGATGACCTCCGTAATTGACAGACGGAAACTAGTGTTAACAAATTTGAAGACATCACAATCTAATTTAGGAAGCTGGGTCGTGTTTTGATCAATTTTTGTGTAGTAACGTAATCTTATATTTCTTAATCTAAAATATAATTTGTTTTTGTAAGATTATTTTTTGGAAATACCACGCAGCTGCATCTTCACAATGTTGGTTTGGAATAAAAATTGCAAAAGTCAATCTCATAGGANATTATCATTATATTTACACTAGCAAATCCATCTTTATTACATTCACCAGGCAGTGAAGAAGAGTCAGAT